TTTTTGAAAGTTCACTTTACACCACCTTGCTTTTACAAAAGACCTACATTACTACCTTTTTCTTTTTTGCAAACCAAAAGAAATCCAAAGAGAAATTTTGCCTTTATGAAAAAAAGGCAAAAAAACAAAAAGCTAGCATTTTGCAGTGAGCTGTTAGATGCCTCGTCTTCCAAGACAGCAAGAGTGGTTCAGCCATGCTACTTCCCCAGGAACTGCACATAGGGTCCCAGCACCAAGCCATGCAGCTTTGAGCTCTGTCTGCAAGCGTCTGTGCTTCATCTCAACTTATTTTGTGCATCCACTAGCAACATATGTCCTAAGGTCATTGCTTCTTCACTTTATGTCATTTTCATCTTATGAAATGTTTCATAAGAACACTCTGTTTTCAGACAGCAGTTAAAGCTGGATAGAGGATTTCCATGGATTCTTTTTATTTTTTAGTGGGGCAGATGTCTTAACTAATCTTAGCTCTTGGTCATTTATCTAAACTTCATATTCCATGAAAAAATCTCTGTTGAGGTTTTGATTTTATTTACTCTAAATCTACCAATCAATTTACATTTACAAGAATGTACATCTCTGATATTGAGTCTTCTGATCCATGAATCTGGTATAGCACTTCATTTATTAAGGTTAACTTTAATATCTTTCAAAAAATTTAATCAACTCCATAAAACTTATATACCTTTGGAATTATAAACGACCCTGAATAGCTGCTGCAATTTTGAGAAAGAAGAGTAAAGTAGGAGGGATCACAATACCCAACACTAAACTATACTACAAGGCCACTGTAATCAAAACAGCCTGGTACTGGAATAAAAAACAGGCACATAGACCAATGGAACAGAACAGAGACCCCAGAAATAAGCCCAAGTCTCTATGGTCAATTAATATTTGACAAAGGAGGAAGCAACATAAAATGGAGTGAAAATCGCCTCTTCAACAAATGGTGTTGGGAGAACTGGACAGCCACGTGCAAAAAAATGAAACTTGAGCACCAACTTACACCATATACAAAAATAAATTCAAGGTGGATAAAAGACTTAAATATAAAACATGACACCATTAAAGTCCTAGAGGAGAACGTAGGTAGGAAAATCTCAGATATTTCACGCAAAAACTTTTTTACTGACTTGTCCCCTAGAGCAAGGGACATAAAGGAAAGAATAAACAAATGGGACCTCATCAAAATTAAAAGCTTCTGCACAGCTAAAGAAAACAGTATCAAAATTAAAAGAACCAACTGTATGGGAAAACATATTTGCCAATGATACCTCAGACAAGGGTTTAATCTCCAAAATATATAAAGAACTTACAAGATTGCACACTAAGAAGACAAGGAATCCAATTAAAAAGTGGGCAAAGGACTTAAACAGACACTTCTCCAAGGAGAACATACAGAAAATCCAAAGACACATGAAACGATGTTCAATATTGGTAGCTATCAGAGAGATGCAAATTAAAACCACAATGAGATACCACTTCACACCAGACAGAATGGCCATCATGAACAAAGCAACAAACAACAAGTGTTGGAGAGGCTGTGGGGAAAAGGGATCCCTAGTGCACTGCTGGTGGGACTGCAGACTGGTACAACCACTATGGAAAGCAGTATGGAACCTCCTCAGAAAACTAAAAATGGATCTGCCTTTTGACCCTGCAATTCCACTGCTGGGACTCTATCCTAAGAACACTAAAATACCAATTCAAAAGAACCTATGTCCCCCCATGTTCAAAGCAGCACAATTTACAATAGCTAGATGCTGGAAGCAACCTAGGTGCCCATCAGTAAATGAATGGATCAAAAAACTGTGGTACATTTACACAATGGAATTCTATGCAGCAGAAAGAAAGAAGGAGCTTCTACCCTTTGCAACAGCATGGGTGGAGCTGGAAAGCATTATGCTAAGCGAAACAAAGCAGGCAGTGAAAGACAAATACCATATGATCTCACCTTTAACAGGAACCTAAACAACAAAACAAAGAAACAAGCAAAATATAACCAAAGACACTGAAATAGAGGCCAGGCTGACAGTGACCAGAGGGGAGAGAAGAGGGAATTTCAGGAGACAGTGGGAAGGGTTCACAGGAACAAACTTAAAGGACACATGGTCATAGACTAAGGGGAGGGTGGTAATGGGAGGGAAGTGGGGAGGGGTGGGAGGGGGGACTGGATTGGGAGTAAAAAGGAGAAAACTGTATTTGAACAATGATTAAAATTAAAAAAATAAATAAAAATAATAAAATAAAATAAAATGAAAAACTTGTATATCTTTTATTGGGGTTTTTTTTCCTTAAATATTTTTTATTATCGTTGCTTAAGTAAATTTTATTCTTCATTTAAATAAATGCTCATTCCTGGTGTATTAACATGCAGTAAAAGATTGATCTTATATCTAATTAACTATATTTAGTTAAATTGCTAAACTTTCTTAATAGTTCTAGTGATTTGCATGTAAGATCTTTTGGAATTTCTGTGTAGAATATCAAATCATCTACTAATAATGACCCTGTTCTTTCTTTCTTTTCAATCCCTCTGTGTTTTTATTTCTTTTTCATGTCTTACCATCCTGGCTAATACCTCCTAAATTCTTAGATTTCAGGTAAGTTTAGGTTTTAGTCCACGAACCAAGTGGTCTGGGACGAGGTTATAATTTTCAGGATTTCAGAACCTCCATTTCAAAGTGATTTTCCAAATTTACAAGGACCAATCACAATAAATGTTTTCAGAGCACTTCAGTATCTACAGGTATTTCTCAGCCAGCATCTCAATGATCCTTAGGAAAAGCAATATAAGGTAGGGATTACTACAATGGTCATTTTACAGATGAGGAAATTGAAGGATCTTAAACAGTGGTTCAGAGAGATCATCTGGCTGGAAAGCTGGAGAGCTATCCCCCGGTGGATGACTGTCCAGACCCACTCCAGTGTTATAATTCTTCCCGAGTGGAAGTGGCTCTGGTGTCATGTATCTCTAGCACTGTCATGAGATGGTCAGATATGTCAAAGAATTTCCTTCATCCACTGGGTTTTTTTAAACTTGGCATTTCTTACATTTATTTGATAATCCCAACTTGATTGTTACATGCTGAGTTGAGGGGGGAAGAGTAGAAAAGATGTCAAGCACCCTGCCCTAGAAAGATACACATGTAAAAAAATAAATTCACCAAGAGAAAAATGTATTACATCAGTAAAATCTGCTTCTTCCTAACTACTAACTTAGAGTTTTCCACATTGCCCTTAACACGTAGCTCTGGGCTGCTGGATCTTAGACTAGTTTATCATTCTGATGACTTTGTTCCAGGCTTGTTTTCTATGTACAGTGGGGGCAGCAACACCTGCTCCTGGGTCAACGCCTTGGACATAAATAAGTCCCATCTGTGAAGAATGTGGTTATAACAGGAAGCTGAGAGTCAAGCTTTCAAGAAGTGGTGTTATAACCATGGCAGCCTTTAGGGAGGGGAAGTGCCTGTCCAGTCCCTTGTCTTCTCTGAGGTGGCTTCCCAACAAGCCCCCAGTCTGCCCTTGGCGCTCCAGCCCTACTGCCTTCCAGCCTCCCCAGTGGCAGAGGAAGTAACTTCCTTTGGGGGGTAGCTTCAAGAGTGCTAGCGAGGCCCCTTCACTCCCAGCCTCCCCGTTTGTAATTCCCCCCTGATTCTCCCATTAGAACTACATGGCCCACTTGTAGGTAGAGATAGCAGGGATTGCTATCCCACGCCCATTTGCCAGATGAGAAGACTGGGGCTCAGGGAGGTTAGGGAGCATGACACATCTTCATAGCCAGGTAGCTTTGGGAGAGAGAACGACAGAAGCAGGCAAGCTCTCCTGAGACCTCAGGTCAGAACTGAGGTCTCAGTTCTGCTGCACTTCATAGGCAAAGGAAGCTCCAAGGCAGCCTAGATTGAGAATGTGGGAAAACAGACTCCAGCCATAGCTGTAAGAGGTGTAGACACATGGAGGGGGAGAGAACTAGCACCATTTTGCAATCAACCTGCCACGCTGTTCATCCCTGGTTTAGCTGAGAGTGGGTCCAGGCCACTCCTGACCATCTCCCACGCCATCCTCCGCCCACAAGTCCTGTGAGATCTTCCTGACTTTGCACAGAGGCCTCGGTCCTGCTATTTTGGGTGAGAACCTGAATCCAGACGTGGTGCACAGGTTCTCTGTGCATAGGCCAACTCACTACCACCCTCTGTGCAACACACACACTCAGACATGCTCACACACTCATACACACCCACACGTGCCCACACACACTCACATGTTCACATCCCTGTACAAGTCACACCCATACACCCACATTCACATTCACACCCACAGCCACACATTCTCACACTTACACATGCTCACATATTTACAGGCACCCACACTCACTCATACATGCTCAGACATGTTCACATGCACACACCCGCATGCATATTTTCACAAGATCATACTCCCTCACACATGTTCACCTTCACACATGTATCCTCACCAACATACCCTCACATGTATTCTCACGCTGACTCACATGCATGCTCACACCCGCACACCCTCACTCTGCCCCTGGCCCTGGAAAGCTGTGCACTGCCTGGCTCCTCTTATCTAATGCTGGACGAGTTCAAGGGAACAAAAATCAGGCACCCTCTTGGTTACCCTCAGAATTTCAGCCGCAAGAAGGTGAGAGCTAATGTGGATCCTGCTCCCAGTGCTGACACTGACCGTGGGACCCAAACAGACCACTTGCTTCCTTGGGCCTCAGTTTCCCCTTCTGCAGACTGAAGGAAGGAACTAGACCATCTCTCACGAGGCCTTTGTGGCTGGAGGTCTGCAATTCCACCAGCAGCGTCCTGGGCCCCTCCACAGGGCCTGGTGGGTGAAGGACTCAGCCCCAGGAGGGACTGAACTTCCCAGAGGCAGCAGCTCCCAGCAGAGCGGACTCCCAAGCCCCACATGAACAGCGAACAGTGAGGCTTTCACAGGGAAATATGTGTGAAGTCGGGAGAGGCAGCTGGGGCAGAGCAGAGGCAGCGCCGATCGAGCACAGTGGCCGGTGCAGCAGAGGTGGCGGCCCGGTGAGTACCCGCTGCCCTGCCAGGAGCCGTGGCCCAGGCGGGCCAGTCCCTGGGCTGGAACAGGGGAAACTGGGCAAGGGCGTATCAGGTCCCCCACAAAGAGAAAGAAAGACACAGGGTCAGAGGAGGTTGTGACCCATGGGTTTGACCCCACTTGTCACTAAGAGGGGGCAGGACAGCTGCCAGGGTGGTCTGAACTGCTAGCCTTCCAATGACAGGGACTCGCCAGCTTAGGACCCATGGGCCCCACCACACAGGTGGCATGGGCGGGGGGAGGAAGCTCAGGAGGGGCGTTTGTCTTCTGTCCTCAAAGCTAGTCACTGAGAATGACTCAGGTATCCCCTAGAGACCCTAGGAGCCTAACCATCCTGCCAGGGAGGTAGAGTCTTCCTCTCTACTCACTCCCGTCCCCAACCCTAGGTGGGGCAGAAAGGTGGTTCCAACCCAGATGCAGGTGCTCCAGGGGAAAGGGAAGGACCTGGCTGGGGTCCTGACCCAGAAAGGGGCTTAGAGGCAAATACTGTCTCAGCCCTCTTTTATAGATGGGGAAATGGAGGCCCCGAGAAGGGAAGGGGCTGTCCCCTCTGGGCCCTCAGTGGGGTCTGGGCAGCAGAGTGGAGTGGGTGGAGCCTGCTGAGCCCAGGTGGTGGATGTGGTCCAGTCTAGTGGGTGTGGCATGGGGAGGCCTGCCCTCCTCCACCCTGTGTCTGCATCTGTTGGCATCCTTTCCAGGCCAGCGGGGCAAGCTGGGCCATCCTAGAAGGGCTGGGATTGGAGAAGCTGATGCCACAGGGTCAGACTTAGACAAACGGAGCAAATCCCTGCCTGGTCAACAATGTGACATGGCCAGGATACAGGGTTGTAGCCTGGGGAAGTAGACGGGCATCCTCGGAGGATTAAGGTACCTCTCTTCCCACCAACGTCACAGCCAGCCATTGGACAGGCAGGGAAACTGAGACCCAGAGAGGTTAAGTGACTTGCCCGAGGTCGTGCAGCTGATTAAGCTCGCCACAGAATGGTGGGGCAGATTCCTCCCAAGCCAGCCCAGGGCCACAGCCTCAGCCACCAAACACAGCTGCCTCCTCCCAGATGGGCAGATGTGCAGCCCCCCTCTCCCCTCCCCCATCTCCCCTCCCCTGAGGTGCACCTGTGCATTTCATCCAACACAGAGCTTCTGTCCTGCAGCTGGTAATGCCCCCTCACGTTGCTCCAACTGGGCATAAACCAAGCTGCTCCTCGGGAATTAAGATGATGCCCAGAGACACTCACGGCACCAGTGCTGGCAGCTCAGGCCCATGACACGGCTCAGCCCAACTAAAGGCAGTATGTTCATGGGTCAGTGCAGGACCAGGAGACGTCGAATAAGTCCAGGGAAGCCAGTGGGGTCCGTGTCCTGGGGCTCACAGAGCCTGTCTGGTGCAGCGCCCCCGTGTCTGACTGTGTGGCCACGAGATCAAAGGGGTTGCCGGGAGCTGGGGAAGAGCAGGGGTTGGAGTCAGAGGACCTAGGTGTGCTCATCTTCAGAGCGACAGGTGCGCTGGCTGGGGTGGTTGGAGCATCATCCTGTGCACCAGAAGGTTGGGTTTCAATTCCCGGTCAGGGCAAAGTGACGGGTAATGAGCCCTCTCTCCTGCCTGCCCAGGAGAAGCTTCCAGGAAGAGCACAGTTCACCTCCCCTCAAGTTCCAGAGGGGCCAGAAGCAGCTGGAGGAGATTTTTAGAGACCCACCAGGCCCACCCCCCAACCCCATCTTACAGATGGGGAAACTGAGGCACGTGGAGACTAAGTGACTGACATGTGGGGAACAGGTGACTGGGCCGAGATCAGCCACCCTCTTTAATATCTCTGGGCTCGGTTTCCTCATCAACAAAATGGGAAGGATAATAGTGCCTCCCTCCTAAGGTCGTTAACCGCAGTAGAAGCTAAAAAGCATTGAATGCCGCCTGCACGCCACACATTGTGCCAGGCACTAGATGAGCATTCTCTCTCTTACAACTCACAGCGGTCATGTCAGAGTGGAATCGGGGCAGTCAGGTGCCTTTTCTGGCTGCTCTCAGGGGAGGCCGACAGCCCGGATTTAGCCATCGGAGTGTCCCATCTTGTGTCATGTCACAATGTGTGTTCGGGCTCCTGGGTCCTCAGCCCAGCACGAGGCAGGTCAGAAGGGGCCTTGGTGGGCTTCCCCCTCGCTTTCCCACCAGCTTCTCCTCCCCCACCCCCCCGCCACTCCCTGCTGGCTAACTGTGTTTCCACCCTCCACAGGGCTGGAGAATGGGAAGGAGGAGGCGAAGATGACAGGGAAACGAGTCACCAGCCTTGAGACTGGCAGCATTTAAGTGGACTTCTCGGCAGAGGTGTTTCGCTGGGGGTCTCTCTCCTGTGCACCTCCCCCAACAAGTCTTCCCCCAAACGCAGAGGCCCCATGTCCATTTCTCCAAATCTCCCTTAGAGCCAGCCGCTCCATCTGGTCTGAGGGTGAACAGGATGCAGCCCCTCCCCAACACACATCACCCTAAGCGATCTTTTTTAAAATATCTCAGTCTCCACTCCCAACCCTGTGGGTGAGGGTGTTAAAGTCATCTAGCAGGTTCTCAGGCGCCTGGCATCACAGCTTACTCCAGGATGTTGTCTCAGCTGAAACTTCTAGTTTAACATCTCTGACAAATACGCCCAACCAACCTCAAGGCTCACAGCCTATCCCACCTACCTGCGGGGTCCAGCCTCGGCGGGGTCTCAGGGTCCCCGAAGGATGCACGGCACAGGCGAACAGACTGGAGCGAGACACCGGGTGGGGTGCCAGAGGACAGCCAGGCTTTTTGGGCCGAACTGACTCACCGAGAAAAGTCAATCTTTATTTTTATAGGGGAGGTGATACAACATTCAATGCATAGTGTGATTATTAAAACAGAAATGGTTACCACAGAAATAATTTTGAAAAACACAGAAGGTTTTACAGATCAATCATGTTAAACAAAGAAATAACCGAAAAGTACAGGAGGTCCCACACAGATCAACCATGTTAAACAAAGGTTATTTTGACCAAGAGGGTCATTAATCAGATAGCCGATGAAGCTATACAGGCACAAACTTTCAGGTGCCAATTAGTAACTAGGTGTCTATTAAGATTCTAGGGATTGGTCTACATTAAAAGGGTGCAAGGGGTGATTTATAGGTTACATAGAAATTAGCTACTGACCGTTAAGGTTAGACTTGTCTCGGTTAGGTAACTGGTTTTTTGCCTAGGTTTTTTGATTTATACATCTTGGGGGGGCCATGTTTTGTGTTCGTTTCCATGTATTGAGATTATTATTTTCAACTAGAACTCCTTGCTTCTATACACTCCTGTCCAGGGTATGGGAGGGGTAGTGGCTCTAATAAACCTTAAGCTCTCAAGTGGTGACTCCCTAAGAAGCATTCCTAGCAACAGCTTCCTTCAGTGTTCTGGCAGTTGGTCTGCCCGTAGTTTAATTTTGTCCTTAACTTTCCAGGTGGGGAAAGCAGGCAGCACTAGGGTTGCTAGGGGTGTCTATTCTGTGGTCAGCAAGTCATTTCATGCAGAATCAGAGGCATCGTGCAGATTTTTTGTGATAACACACAGATGTCCAAAAACCCACCACCTATTCCTAGCAGGGACAGGCATACAGGAGGAGATAGACAGGAGACCCGGCCACAGTCGCCTCTGCTGTGCAGATGCGTCTCATCCGACCCGACTGTGTCCAAGGGTCAGCTGCTGGTCGGCTCCCGACACCCACCCACCACACCACTACTCCTGATCACCGGTTTCTGGTCTACTAAAGGGGCTGAACGAGACCTGCCGCCCGGGGTAAGGACCTGTGGCCTCCTGCAGATGACTGCTCTGCAGACTGCAGAGTGGGGCCGATGAGGCTACCACTGCCCATCCAGCTGTGGACAACACGCCTATTGTGCCTGTCGGGGGGTGTTTCCGGCGTCTCTGCCACAGGGAAGCGTGCCCCTCGGTGGACCGGGAGTTTCCCTCTTTCTTCCCGCCTGTCTCTGGTACACGAGCATCAGTGTTTAACTTTGTCCCTGGCTGACTGGCTACTGAGAAAAACAGTTTTCTTCCTAGGGGCACACGGCCTGGGGCGTGGGCCAGGTGGCTTCTTCAATAGACAGAGGGGTGGTCCCTGGCCTGAGGGGCAGAGATGACAGTGGTGGCTGCTGGGGGGGGGGGGGGGTTGTAGAGCAAGGAGGCTGCAAGCCTCAGAAACTGTGTGCCACGCTCCTGCTCAGGATTGCCACTTGTTGCCGCTTAACCCACCCTATCAGCAGACAGCCTATTTTTGTGGGTGTTTTCTCCACTCCTAACGAGGGCGAGGTCTCGGTTTTAACAGGTTTCTCACCACGTGCCAGGAGAGATGAGTTAATGACGCACATGCTCTGCCTGGGACCTCGCGGCCCCATCAGAGAACACGGGAGGAGTCCCCCCCATGGCGCCGACCCTCAGGGACCCCAGAAAATGTTCGTAAACACGTCGCAAGTCGCCACGGGTCTCAGGCAGTTCTTACCTGTCCCTGGTGAAATGACAACTATGCAGGCAAAACGGTGAGGTTTTCACCAAGTTAAATTGGTTCCACTGAAAGGTTTTGTGCTTTTTGACACCAGAAAGGCCGGCGTTCGTGCTGCCTGTCACCCGCCAGACCCAATAAGCAGAGACAGGGATCAGGTCTTCATGGGCGCTTTGTTCAGACTCAGACGGTGATCTGAGCGGACGGCGGGTTCGCACCCTAACGGTCTGACATGTCCTTTCAAGCCAGCCTTTTTATAACAGAGAACAGAGCGCTGCGAGGGGTTTTGAAATTCAGGGGAAATTAAATCTAAAAAACTGCAGCATTCTCGCCCTGGGCAGTTAGCTGTCCCCTGGGCCGGGATCTGTCTCTCCCAGGAGCGCAGTGGCTGGCGCCCCAGGCGGTCGGTGGTCTTTAGTGGTGCCCCAGGAGGTGGGGCCAGGGTGGGCGGTACCTGCCGTTCCTGAAACAATAGCTTCAACATGTGCCTTACCCACTAGGCCTATGAACTATCTACCTTAAACTAAAATTGTCCAAGTCTTTTTTAATACATTTTATTGATGATGCTATTACAGTTGTCCCATTTCCCCCCTTCACTCCCCTCCACCCTGCACACCCTCTCCCACCCACATTCCCCCCCTTTAGTTCATGTCCATGTGTCATAAGTTCTTTAGCTTCTCCATTTCCTGTACTATTCTTGCCCTCCCCCTGTCTGTTTTCTACCTACCATCTACGCTACTTATTCTCTGGACCTTTTCCCCCTCTCTCCTCCTCCCACTCCCCTAAAATTGTCCAAGTCTTTAGCTCCCTATCACTTTCATTCTAGAAGTGCGTTCTTTCTCCCTCTCTAGTGTTAAATACTCCCTCTAGATGACGGTGAGAGCGTGGGTGGTTTCTGTAAAGGACCTTGAGGAAGTGGACAGGTGGCCAACTCACTCAGCCCCCATTGGTTTTAATTTACTGGTCGGCGGCCTCTGAGCGCTTCAGATCCATTACTCCAAGGAGCAAAGTAACAAGTCTCGATCCCTCACTCTGACAAAGGTGGGATGCAAACCCAGGAGTGCATGAATTGCATAAAAGTCGGCAGTTCTTCTACCGGGAGATGGGAGTGCAGGGCCCAGCCCAGGTCTTCCACCGAGGTGCTGTGTGACCACAGGAGATACCCTCACCCTCTCTGAAGCTCTGTTGTTAGGGTGGTCGGCGACACGGGCTGCAAAAGAATTCACAAAGGGAAGAAAGTGCAGAGAGGAAAGGTTTTATTTTGCTTTCCCGAGGGAGGGACAGTGCTGGGTGTGGAGAAAGGCACCAGCACCTCGCTGCGGGGTCGGCTGTGAGTCTTCATCATCATTGGGTGATGGTGATGGGCGGTTGGAGAGCCGGGTGTTTCGGCTGGGCTGCAGCTTGTCTGGATGTTGTCTCTGGGTGCGGGGATCTGCGTCCTCGTGTGGCCTGGCAGGTCCGTTTCGCCAGTCCCAGGAGCCTCGGCGCCTTCAGGCGCTTCCAGTAACTTTCTGGTCCGGAGGATAAAGGCTCTGAACCGGTTCAGGTCGGTCATGCTTCACGGGGCCCAGCCCGCTCCGGGAAAGAGGGCCCGAGGAAGGGGCTTTTCTCCTGTTGCCCGTTTCCTCATCTCTCAGCACAACCCATAACCCATGCCTGTCTCTCCCTTGGAAAGATGTGAGGGCCTAAATGTTCACACCTCAAGAAGCAAAGGCCTGGGGCCCGAGCGTCCTCCTCAGCCCACACCCTCCATCCCCCTGCCCGCTCCCTCTCCACGCCCTCCCACGCCCTTGGGCTCCCAGACCAGGTGATCTCCAGCAGCATCTCCTGAAACCACAGAGCAGCCGCATCTGTCCGGGGCTCGTGCTGCCTGTCACCACCCGGCCAGAAAGCAGAGACAGGGATTGGATGACAACTGCACTTTTATTAATGTCGGAGGCCAGCAGCCTGAGAAGGTGGCGGGCAGAAACCCTAACACCCGCCTCACCTTGAACTCTCAGAAGCAAGTTGGGAGCGGGAGCTGGCAGGGGAGCCGCGCAGCCTCCTCCGGAGCGGAGCCGGCTCCCTTTGCTCCGTGCTCTCTCTCCGCTGGCGTCAGCCCTCCCCTCCTCCCTGGACGCCCGTGGTTTATGGCCGGCCGGGAGGCTGTGAGTTCTCTGCTTAGGGAGGAGAAGTGGAAACCATGTGCCCTCGAGTGTCCTTGGTCAGGGCAGATAAGGTCTTGCGGTTCGCCAGCTGGCTGTGAGTTGCGCAAACTGTTTGGCCTTATTTCATTTTCTTGTCTCAGTTTCCCCATTCCACTCGCCCAGGAATTTTCTTAGCTTCTTATCATCCTGTCTCCCTGGGCAGCTGTCGACTCGTCCCCAGCATGTCTGGCGGGGAGGGGAGGGCAACGGCCAATGGGCGAGGAAGGAAACTGAGATGAGAGAGAGAGAGAGAGAGAGAGAGAGAGAGAGAAGCAAAGGAACGTGGGGTGAGGCAGGGGAGCGAGGAGGAGCAGCCGCCTCTGAGTCCCGCTGCTGGAGGTCCGTGTGTTCGCTGAAGTCGCTCCTGCGCCCCACAGTCAGGGTGCCATTGGCCGACCCTCCCCCCGCCGACCCCCCCCCCCAGCAGGGACCCTCAGGGCAGTGGCCCTGGCTGGTCAGACCCTGTGAGAACAGGACATTCGGTCTGAATTCATCGTTTACTCCCAGCCCCCCTGAGCTTGGAGCTCAGAGGAAATGCTCAATAATCCTGTGTTCAACCGGATTGCAGATTTCTCCTGCTCTTCCTCCTAAGCGGTGGGCCCCCTGAGGGCGGGGATTCTGTATCTGACCCTGGTTTATATTCGCTCTCTTTAAAAAGGGGCTTTTTATAAGGTTTGTACGTGTTGTTTCTATCTAATTCACAGCAAACCCTGTGAGATTCCTACCCATGCTATTATCCCCACTTTACAGGGAAGAAAACTGAGGCAAGGGGAGGTGGCCATCTTTTTTCATGTTGCATGGTCACTACAGGGCCCAGGGTTCAAATCCTGGCCTCTATTGCCAGAGACAAGTGCTGAACCACTTAATGCCATTGGGAAGAATGACTGTCTTTGGTTTCACTGTGTAGTCAGGCCGATCCCTCACTCTGCTGTTTCCTGCAAAACTCATCTCCTGACCGCTGGGTGGTCCCCCCCGCCCCAAGTGTTTGCTCAGGCCAGACACACGCACATGGAGTTCCCATAGCCCATGATCTGCGCTACATTCATGGCGACTACCCGGGTGGCCAAAGAGAAACCTTCCCGTAGCAGGTGACTGTTTGCACAAGCTCATTAGCCAGGGTTGAGGGACGGGAGATGGCAGTTCCGGTCACAGGGGAAGAGACCCCCTCTGTCTGAGCTCTGCCTCGCAGGAGCTGTGTGTCCTCTCCAGGGAAAGGAGGAGGTTTAAGCCTCTGCTCCCACTAAAGTCCTCTCCATGCAACAGAGCAGAGGTTGAAAACGTGGCTCCTAGGGATGGAGAGACTGGAATTGAAGTCGTGGCCTTGCCTCACCTGGAACCCCTTGACCTAGGACACCCATTCACTTCTCCAAGTGACGCTCCCACACAGACAGTCAGGGGTTTGGGTGCCCACTGCATGGGGCCACAGGTGACAGGGGGAGGTCGAATATTGTTTATAAAGCACAAAGTTGGACGCAGACGTGCAGCCGTCACGTTCCCGTGAGGATCTCCCGAGCCTTTGTCTCCCAGGAGCTCGGAACAAGATGTCCGCGGCGCCCGCCAGCAACGGGGTGTTTGTCGTCATCCCGCCCAGCAACGCCGGCAGCCTCCGCCCACCACCAGCCGTTCTGCCCACCTCCATGTGCCAGCCTCCCGGGATCATGCAGCTGGAAGAGCCACCGCTGGGGACACAGACTCCAAGGACCACCCAGCCGCCGGACTTGCGGCCTGCGGAGACCTTCCTGACGGGAGAGCCCAAAGCTTTAGGGGTAAGATCGGCCTCTCCGAATGACCCGAGGCGTAGGTGCTGAGCAGCAGGGAGGCGTAGGCACCCAGCACCGGGGTGCACACCTTGGAGAGGGGGCAAGCAGTGGTAAATACTTAGTGAGTGCTGGAGGGTTCAGCTGTGCACTAGACCCACAAGGACCCCTCCCTGCAGAGCTCACGGAGAGTAAAGCACTGAACTGATGATGAAGATAAGTCCAAATAAGGTCATGAGGTCGAAAATTCTGGAGCGGGGAGGGCAACACTAGCAAGGGTGAACAGAAAGGTCTCTCCGGAAAGATGACATTTAAAGCTAAAACCTAGCTGCTGAGCAGGAGCCAACCAAGGGAAGAAGGTCTGGAGGCAGAGAGAACGGCAAGTGCAAAGGCCCTGAGGTGGGGGAGCGTGTGGCTTGTTCAAGGACAGAAGACCAGGCTGACACGACTGGGATGTGAGGAGCAGAGGAAGGAAGGGGAGGAAAGGAAGTGGTGGCTGAGGGCCAGCTCCTGCCGAGCTGACGGTCCATGAAAGACAGGCTCTGTGGCCTTTCCCAGGCTCAGATGGCCTTGTAACACTGGTCCCTGGGGGGGAACAAAATATTAGATAGGAAGTGGGTGGGTGGCTGGATGGCTGGATGGATAAATAGACAGACACACATGTTCATCTCCACATACACATACAGTGTCTTCAGTGTGCACCTTGGCCTCCGTTCCTCTGAGTGGAAGATGAAAGCATAGTTTAGTGATGGTGATGAGATGATGATGATGATGATGAGGATGATGAAAGCTCTGATTGATGGAGCACCCAGAGGTGCACGCACTCCACCAAGGGAGTTGCATGCACTGCCCGTTTCGATTCTCATCACCACTTTGTGAGACAAGACGCACGGTTCCCACGGGACAGAGTAGGAAACTGAGGCTTGCCAAGGCAAGGTCACTGGCCCAAGGCCACACAGTGGTTAAGTGGCATCCTGTGCCCTGGGGTGGCCCGGCTGTCAAGTTCTACTTTCAACCCCTCTGCCCCATGGGACCCAGGAACTCTGGCCTGAACGCGCTGGGCCCCAAGACTGCGATTCGCACTGCTCGCAGGCAGACGGGCCCATATGTGATTTGGGTGGAGGTGAGTGCCGCGTCGTGAGGGAGTCCACTTGGAAGTCAGGAGCTGGAAAGGGCTTCTGGATCAGGCAGCGGCTGGCTCCGAGGACCTCCAGCGCCCCTGGCACTCAGTCCTAGAATTTAGTCGTTGCCAAAAACGTTTGGAAAGAAATGTGGCAGAAATAACCAGAAGCCCACAAGTCCCCGCCTTTGGGAGAACCATTCCACTTCTGGGGAGGGATCAGTGGGGTGCTGGTAAGCCACCTCTTTAAAATTAAAAAAAAAAAAAATTAAAGGCATTTCAGCTGGGTAGGGAGGGTCGGCTCCAAGGCACGGGCGGATGGAGTGATGATGGACAAGATGCCCCAGAAGATACGCGGTACAGGATGAGGAAGGAAAGGAAGGAAAAGGTGAGGCGTTGTGTGTGCAGGGAATGAAACAGGTCAAAGACAACCAGGGAGCAACACCCAGCGATTTGGAGAGCCGAGGGGTCACAGTACAAAGCGGGATGCAGACCCGTAGAGGCATGGAAACAGGCAGGTGGGTCCCGAAGGCTGTGGGGAACTGCCTTTCCTTCTTAAAACTGTCTTTTACGGTTGTTATCAAGGTATCTCAAAAGAACAGAATGTGAGTTTATTCTCCAGTCCCTTGGGGAGCACGGGGCTCCGGCATGCTGTCCTCCGCGGCCTGCAGGGGGCGGTGTGGAGCCCGGCTGCCCGCCTGGCTGAGCTGCCAACCGCTCCCCGCAGACGGTCCAGATCCTCATCGGCCTCATCCACCTGGGCTTCGGCAGCGTGCTGCTCATGGTCCGCCGTGGCCGCGTGGGGATGCTCTTCATCGAAGGCGGCGTCCCATTCTGGGGAGGAGCTTGCGTAAGTGCGGAGTCATTTGGGGGCCGTGCCCAGATTCACTTCTGCCCCCTGTCCTCACTCCCATCACGTTCTCCTGAGCACAGCCGCTTCTAGGTGGGGGCTTGAGCCTCAATCTAACTCCTAACCGCAAACCCTCATCCTAAACCTGAGCCAGCCCCCACTCCTGTGTATGCCAAGCCTCCAGCAAAGGGGATGGCTGCAGAGGATAAGGATTCTAACCATCTGTGCTACCTGCATCCTCAGCCTCACCCTGCGTCCAAACACCGACCTGCAGAAACTCGCCAGCTCCTCTCCTGAGTCCCAGCCCACCATGAGCTCCCTCGCCTGGGAGTCTGCCCAGTTCTGAAGCCCCTGAGCCTATTCCCCTACCCATACCCGGCCAACCTGGCAGCGACCCCTGCTGGGCAATCTCCCACGTGAAGAGAGCACGTTTGCATTTGCCATGCTCGCCAGGAGAGCACAGGCTTTGGAGTGAAGACAGTAGGGTCTGAGTCAGAGGCCTCAGCCTCCTTGTCTGAAAACCGGATCTATAGTTCTGGCCCCGCCTACCCCATAGTTGGGGGAAATCAAGAGCTAATGCATGTGGGAGCCAATTACCAAGTCTTGATTCTGCACCAAATGGCGACTCGTTTGCAAAGCTTCCCCCTTTACAGAGAGAGTCAGAGACTCACATGAGAAGGACATCCCTCCAGTAAGTGGTGGTCCCCGAACCCGGGCACTGTAGCCCTTCAAGTAGTCCATGTTACCCAGCGTTGAGGGAAACGTCGGCTAATGGGACTTCTTGATTGTTTATTTGCTCAGTGCCCGTCTTCCCCAGTGAGACCAGAAGCCCCCTGAGAGCAGGGGTCTTGTCCATCTTGTCAACTGTGTTCTGTTCTTGGCACATGCCTGCTGCTCAGCACATGTTTGGAGGCACAATGCCTTGCCTATGAGGCTCTGGTGATAGGATGTCAATGAAAATGTCTTGCAAGCTTCAGCTGATCCCCCGGACAGGGGCACCTAGTAACCAGAGAGGTACTAAGGCGCCTGGCCAGGAGGCACAGGAGGTGGCAGCCAAGAGGTGCCCACAGAGAGCCAAGCATACGTGTCCTGCTCAGTGTCCTGGCCAAAGCCCCACAGGAGTCCCCTCTCCCCCACACAGTTCATCATCTCTGGGTCCCTTTCGGTGGCAGCTGAGAAGAGCCACACCAGCTGCCTGGTAAGTCTGGTCAGGGGACCCGGGACAAGGGTGGGGCCATGGCGGGACTCCTCTCCACTAGGACCCCATATACACTCACCCATTCAGCTCCTTCCACAAGCACTTCCTGGGGGCCCGCTGAGTGCCAGGCACAGGACAGCACCCAGACAGCCCAGACAGAGCCTGCCCTTCAAAATACAGTATGGGGCAGAAAGTGATGGGTGGTCCTCAGACAGAGTGCTCGTGGTCCTTAGAGTAAAGGCAGATAGATGCAAGAGGCCCTCCTGGAGGAGGAGGCAGCTGAGCTGGGCCCTGGTGGGCAGAAGGGACTGAGAAACACCGAAGGGAAAGCATGAGGCTGCAAGGAGGGGCATGGGCAGGACTGCTGCAGAAACCACGTGTGGTTCTGTGTGAGGTCAAGGACGGGAGTGGAAAGAACTTAGATGCAGAGGTGCGAGGTCCAGATCATCATGGAAGGCTCTGTGTGGGCAACAGGGAGGCGATCCCGGCTTTGGACAGGGGACTGCTGAACAGGGACTGCTGAACAGAGCCAATCCTGGGGGGTCCTGGGGAGGGACAGGAGGAAAGGAGAGGGGTCGACAAGAACTGGAGTCAGTGGCCACTGCCCCCAGGCCGTGGGGGGCTGGGTGTGGGGGGGCTCGGGCTCCTTGTCCTCTCTTTTTCTCCTCGCCCCTTCCCTCTCCTCCCTTCCCTCCTGTCTCTCTCATGCAGGTGAGGAGCAGCCTGGGGACGAACATTCTCAGTGCCATGGCGGCCTTTGCCGGGACGGCCATTCTGCTCATGGATTTTGGTGTCACGAACTGGGTGTGTTCTCAGACGCCTTCAGCAGTGGGGAGACGTGGAGAGTGGTAGAGCCCTATCCAGGGGGTGGGGAAGGCAGGGGTTTGCAGCACCAGGAGGCCAGGGCCCTGGGCATTGGCTGGGCCTGCCAATCCCACTAGACCCCGTGAGCATATTGACCCCATGACCCTGCCCCAAGCATGGGCTTGAGGGGAACGGAGAGACAGCCGGGTAGAGTGAGGAGAGGACACAGGACGGGCAGAAGGAGGACGGGCTCCAGCTCCAGCTCTGCCAGCAATGGGCTGTGTGGCCGCGGACCAGTTACTCTCACTCTGGACCTCCTTCCCTCCTCAATGCTAGAACTCTCGGCTTGCCTTAACTGTGGGTTTTGGGCCCCCAGGACGTGGGCAGGGGCTACCTGGCTGTGCTTACCATCTTCACCATCCTGGAGTTCTTCATCGCCATTATTGCCACTCACTTTGGGTGCCAAGCCACCCGCGCCCAAGCCAACGCGGTGAGTACTTCCACCCCAACCTAGGCCCCTGAGGAAGGCTGTTTGCTGGAAAGGGTCTCTGCTTCCAGACCCTCCCTGCTTCCCTCCGGGGAGCAACCCGGAAGGACTGGACTTGGAAGAGCTTCACTCATAAACGAAGGGACCCAAAGAAGTCTTTGCTGGAAGATGGGACTATTCTCTTTATGGCCACAGGAGGGCGCCCGCACCAATGAACACGCTGCTCTATGAGCAGCTACAGGGGGGCGCCAGCACCAATGGGCCCGCTGCTCTGTGAGCCCTGATGCAGAGCAGTGGAATGCCCTGGATGCAGGGGAGAGGTTGGAGGGCTGCACGCATTTGAGTAGAACTCTCTAGAAGTTCACGGGCCATGGGAGAGACAGGGGCCAACAGAAAGGACAGCATGCCTCAGTGGAAACTGAGCTTAGGTTCCCAAACCCTGCGAAGCCAGAAAAGGGGTGGAGGCAGGTGTTGGTGGCCGGGGAACCAGTTGGAGTGAAGGCCGCCTAGGGCAGGAAAATGCAGACCATGGCGTGGGGGTGCAGCTGGAGTGGTGGCTATATACAAAATGGGAGGTGAGGCTATCGAAAGCCTTTGAGCAGATATGTTCAAAGGGGAGGGTGAGCAGAGCAGGGCTCAGGGAAATCACTTCCAGAGGGTTTGTCCAATGCAGGGGCCGGAGAGAAAGGTGGAGGATGAAGGCAGTCCAGCGGCAAGGAGGCTGGTGCTATGTATGGCCGACTGGACCCAGTGCAGGGCAGACCAGAGAGATCTTTAGCTTCTAGAGAGATGGGACTTTTGTCTGTTTTGTTCGGTGCTGTATTCCCAATGCCTGGGTCATCGCTGGCTCTAGTAAATATTCTTCGAAGTATGACTTGAACAGAGGACAGTTTCTGAGTTGACCCATTCAGACTCGCAGAATTCATTACTAGGGTGCTATTCTCAGAATAGCCACAAGGAGGCGCTGTTGCAACACCTCCCTGCAGGGCTGGACCTCTCCTAAGACTGTCATTGGGTTTTCTTTCTCTTTGCAGCCTGTGATTTTCCTGCCAAACGCTTTCAGCACAGACTTCAACATCCCCAGCCCCACCGCCTCTCCGCCCCCTGCCTATGACAATGTGGCGTACGTGCCCAAGGAGTCGTCTGAGTAGATGGTCGCTCTGGCCTGTTGGCGTCCAGCCTTTCCCTTCCAGGCCCCGCCTCTCCCCACCCCCACCTCGTTAATCTGGGGCAGATCCCCTCCCCACTCCTCACATACTGTGGCCCTCGAGTGAAGTCGTCCCCCGGGGACCTTGTCCCACACATGTCCCACGGTGATTTCTTTCCGAAAAGTGCTGTTTGGCGTCAAGGCGTATCCCTGAGCCCCACCCCCTTCTGTGCTGCTCTGTATTTCCCTCTGCTTTTCCGGGAAACCGGCCTCAGTGGGAGACAGGTTCAGGGGCTGCCCCGGTCCTCAGACCTGGGGACGGTTATTAAGCTCAGAGGGCCCAGAATCCTCCAGCGAGGAGTGATGCGCCCAGCTCCCCCGCCCACAGAGCTGGCAGTGGCCTGACCTTGTGACTCAGGGCCCCAAGGGCAGCTCTGTCGGTGTAATCTGCTGCCCCACGTCCGTCATCAGGCCTGTTTCCTAATGAAATGAAATTACTGAACCAGATGGCACCTGCGGCCCCCCAGCTCCGCTGGGCTCCCTGAAGGCCTGGTCTGAGCCAGGCACTGTCGCCCCGCTGCTCCGGAAACGCTTGTTTCCCTCCCTGTAAAAGGGAGTCGGTACTGACTCTGGCCACCCACCCCCGAGGGCCGGGGACATTGCTGGGGACGGCCGGCCGGGGCCAGCCCACCAGACCCCATCATCATCCGCAGGTGCACAGTGATGGTGGCCCCTCCCCGGAAGGCTCGGGACCTCCCTGTCCCCCCCCCCACACACACACACACCTCCCTCCAGCCCAAAGGGCACCATGAGCTGGGCTGCCTGGGGCTAAGGAGACGCCCCTCCCCTAGCTGGTGCAGAGGCCCTGGCGCGGCTCATCCCATCCACACCACAGAGGAAATAAACAGTGCGGCTTACGCTTTGCGCCAGTCTCTTGCAATGACTTTTTCCTTTTCACCCTCAGCGGTTTCGAAAGGCTGCCCCGTGTTTGTCAGAAGACCTGGGTCACTGTCCCACTGTCACAGCAAAAGGGCATCTCTGGGGTGGGAGCTCCATGTGGTGTGATCCCCACACTTATTCTGCCCGCCCCTGAGCCCGGAGAAGCAGGCATTCATATGCCCACTCTGCAGCTAAGGACACGGAAGTTGAAAGAGGTTAATCAGGTACCCAAGGCCACCAGTCTGTTAAGGGACAGAGCTGGGATTTGAACCCAGCTCCATCTGATGTCATGGCTCATGACCACAGGACTCCCCACAGTCCAAACCCAGGGCTTCCCCACCAGCCCCTCCCCTCCCACTCCTGTCTCTTCCTCCCAAAGACTGGGGCAGGGCTGCGTTCCTGAGCAAGCCCACTTTGTCACCTAACAAACTCCAGCTCCTCCCTCAAAACCTGACTTTAACGGTGCCCCTTCTGTGAGGTCTTCCCAAAGAAGGGGTGGCCAGCTAGGCGGCTAAGTGCTACCCAGCCACAGGGCTGGGACAAGAGTGGGGCCATCAAGGACCCACTTAAGAAGGCGCTCACTCCCAGGGCCACGCCAGGGCAGAGCTGGAGTGGGGGTGACAGCGAGCTGTGGCTTTCAAAATCGAGAGAGGAGAGGCGTGAGGACTTGGAGCTGGGAACTGAAGTCCACTTAGCGAAGTATACAGTTGTGGGGGGAATGTGTTTGCAGGTTGAAGACCAGTTTTCCTCAGAGACATCAGATGTTTTTAAACTGAGGGGAGGAGTTTGGAGAGAGGGAGGGAGGAAGGGAGGGGAGGAGGAAGAGGGGGCTTCCTCAGGTCCCAGCTGGTCACATCTGTCCCCTGTTGAGATGTGGGAACCAAAACCACAGGTCAAATCAGAGGAATCTAAGAGCCAATGCTTCTTCGCCTCCCAGGCTGTAACGTGAGGCGGCCCTGCAGGGCCCTCAGAGACGCCCGCCGGCGTGCCCAGATGGCTCGGAGCCCAGCCAGAGCTGAGGGCTGCGCCTGGGGACAGAGCCCAGCCCTGCACTCCCCGAGGGGTCTAATTAAAGCCCCAGAAAGCTTTCTGTGTCCCCAAGAGGGCTGCTGTGCCGTGGGGATGCTGGGATATGGCACCATTCATAAAAACTAATTCAAGATGAGTCACAGACCTAAATTTGAAAGCTAAAATAATCTTCTTAAGGAATGGGAACATGTCTTACATACTTCGGGATAAGCAAAAATTCCTCAAACTCAACCCCCAAAAAAGTACTAATCATAAAAGAAAAAAGTGGTAAATTAAGGTTTATTAAAATTAAGGCCTTCTGTTCATAAAAATTAAAAAAAGAAAACACCGTAAGTGTGAAAATGCTTCACAGACCACGAGAGGATTTTGAAACACATAATATATAACAGAGAGCCACCTGAAAATATATAAATTACTCCTGAACACAAATAAGGAAAAGCGAGAAACCGCCACTGAAAATGGGCAAAGAAATTAACAGGCACTTCACCAAAAAGGCTATCGAAATGGCTAATAAGTGTGTTCAACATCGTTAGTCATTAGCAAAATACAAATTAAAACCACGATGAGATACCACACCTCGCCAAAATGGCTACAATTAAAAAGGCTGCCCATACAAATGTTGATGAGTTTTGGAAACTCATCTTCTTAAACCTTGCTGGAGGGAACATAGGCCCGATGTAACCACCTTCGAAAAAACGTTTGGCGGGACCAGCGGCAGCATGCAATGTCACCAACCATTCTCTCCCTGGGTGTACGCCCAACAGAAATGAGTGACTCTGTCCAGAAAAAGACAGGTACAGAGTTTTAAATGGCAACTTCCTTCCTAATAGGCAAAAATGTGAAGCATCTCCAAGTTCATCAACAATAGAACAGGTAAATAAATTGTGGTGTACTCCTAAAACATGAATAAATAAAAAAATAACTACTGACCAGCCAACACGCAGATGCGTCTCTGGGCGCAAGAAGAACATGCTGTGTTATTCTGCTCGGATGAATTTTCAAGAACAGGCAACATAAGCAGATGGTGGTAGAAGTCAGCAAAGTGGTTTTGCCCCAAGCAGAGATGTCCAACCCTTCAGTGTCTCTGGGCCATGCTGAAAGAAGAAGGGTTGTCTTGGGCCACACATTAAATACATTGTGACACGTAATCACAAAAAAAAATCTTAATGTTCTAAGTAAATTTACAATTTTGTGTTGGGCCGCATTCCCAGCCACCCCGGGCTGCACGCCCAGGTTGGACACCCGGCCAGTGCGGCAGTTCTGGGCCAGCAGGGCATGAGGCAGCTTTGGGGGCACAGGAAACGCTCTATATCTTGATGTGGGTGACGGTTACATGGGTGCAGGCACAGATAAAAATCCATCAGGCTGTACATATTTGTTGTGTAATTAGTTGCGGTTTTTTTTTAAGTAGGAAAAAAAGAACAAAAAGACTTAAATATAAACTGTGACACCATTAAAGTCCTAGAGGAGAACGTAGGTAGGAAAATCTCAGATATTTCATGCAGAAAGTTTTTTACTGACATGTGCCCTAGAGCAAGGGACATAAAGGAAAGAATAAACAAATGGGACCTCATCAAAATTAAAAGCTTCTGCACAGTTAAAGAAAACAGTATCAAAATAAAAAGAGAACCAACTGTATGGGAAAACATATTTGCCAATGACACCTCAGACAAGGGTTTAATCTCTAAAATATATAAAGAACTTACACGACTCCACTCTAAGAAGACAAGCAACCCAATTAAAAAATGGGCAAAGGACTTGAACAGACTCTTCTCCAAGGAGGACATACAGAAGATCCAAAGACACATGAAACGATGTTCAACATCGCTAGCTATCAGAGAGATGCAAATTAAAACCACAATGAGATACCACTTCACACCAGACAGAATGGCCATCATAAACAAAGCAACAAACAACAAGTGTTGGAGAGGATGTGGGGAAAAGGGACCCTAGTGCACTGTTGGTGGGACTGCAGACTGGTACAACCACTATGGAAAGCAGTATGGAACTTCCTCAGAAAACTAAAAATGGATCTGCCTTTTTATCCTGCAATTTCACTGCTGGGACTATATCCTAAGAACCCTGAAACACCAATCCAAAAGAACCTATGCACCCCAATGTTCATAGCAGCACAATTTACAATAGCTAGGTGCTGGAAGCAACCTAGGTGCCCATCAGTAAATGAGTGCATCAAAAAACTATGGTGCATTTACACAATGGAATTCTATTCAGCAGAAAGAAAGAAGGAGCCCCTACCCTTTGCAACAGCTTGGATGGAGCTGGAAAGCATTATGCTAAGTTAAATAAGCCAGGCGGTGAAAGACAAATACCACATGATCTCACCTTTGACAGGAACCTAAACAACAAAACAAAGAAACAAGCAAAATATAGCCAAAGACACTGAAATGGAGGACAGGCTGACAGTGACCAGAGGGGAGAGAAGAGGGAATTTCAGGGGAGAATGGGAAGGGTTTACAGGAACAAATTTAAAGGACACATGGACAAAAACTAGGGGGAGGGTGGTAATGGGAGGGAAGTGGGGAGGGCTGGGTGAGTGGGCTGGAATGGGAGTAAAGGGGAGAAAACTGTACTTGAACAATGATTAAAATAAAAAAAATAAAAAGAAAAGAAAGAAGAACAGAAAAACGTTACTACATTAGTTATCTGTTTCTATGTGACGAATTATCACAAACTCAATGGCTCGAAGAACACACACTTCTTGTCTCACGGTCCTGTGCTGGGGATCAGGGGCAGCTTGGTCCTCTGCTCTGCGCCTCACAAGGCCACGGTCAAGGTGGCAACTGGGCTGCTTGCTCATCCGGGGGCTCGACTGGGGAAGAACCCACCTCAAGCTCATGCAGGCTGATGGCAGAACGAATTTCCTTGCAGCTGTGGGACTTTCTGGCTGCCAGCTGTCAGCTTCCCTCAGCCCCAGAGGCCGCTGCCGGCATCTCGCCCTGCGGGCCCAGCACAGCCAGCCAGGGAGAAAGTCCCTGGAGCAAGTCTGCCCGGAAGATGAAGTCTTACGTTAAACTCTAATTACAGGAGTGGCCTCTCATTGCCTTTGCGATATCTGTCTAGCAAGCAGAAGCACCTCACAGGTCCCGAGGGGAAGGGCTCCTGGGGGGCCACCTTAGAATCTGCCCGCCACGGTTATGCT